CTCATTCACCTGAATGCAATGTCATCAAGTATCATGGACACTTGCTCTCACAAACAGACAGAAAAGCATAACCAACTTGTCAAGGGGAGAGCTAAAAGCAGGACTCGATCAGACATGTCACCAGATCGGATAAAATGCTGTCGAACAGGGTATTTCATATACTTCTACTTTATCCAACGAAGAAACAAGCAGTTTAAAAAAATCAGAATACTCATAGTGTATGTCTCTAAGGCTTCTGTGTATGTATATGTTGTATTCTAAACCTCGTTACCGAAATAAACTAATATATTCATTTCAATAGGGATGAAACTTCTGTCGCGCACTAAATAATTACAGAATAAATATAAGAAAATTCTAAAAAACAGAAGAGATAATTTGTACTAATATGAACGATATTCGATCAATCACTTTCTATTTATCTTTGTAGTTCAGAATCAGCAATATTTTTCTCATAGGCGATATAGTTACTTTTATTTTTATAAAACCCAGTAAGTCTCGATTCGAACTTTATAAGATTATTGACAATTTATGTCACGATAAGTTGATGGGTTGTTTTTTAAGATAATCATGAATCTACATCAAGCATATCAAGCTTTCGACACATTAGAAGACGCCTCCTCTAATAGTTGATTTTTCAGTTTTACTACCATGTTTATAGTTTTTGTTTCTATATTCGCATTTCTAATCTTTGCTTCAAAAATATTTCTCTGTTGTTTCTGACATTCAAGGCAGTCTGTACTTGAGTAATATAAAATGTAATTAACAGACGTATGTATACGGTATGTGAAAAGTAATGCCTGTTATGATCAAGTTCAGTTATTTGTCATTTGCTTTCTTCTCTTTTCACTAATAGTTAACTATATGATTGTTTTCATAACTGAATAAAAATAGAACATTTCTTATAGATAATGTTCTTAAGCTCAAATTCCCATCTGTTGCCATTACATATTTGTCATGATCATATTGATCAAGAATCTGATTCAGGAAGGGTTGAAGAAATCATAGGTTCAATGATGAACACTCAATACAAACGGCTGATCATGAAGGACATGCTGAAAAATCCGAAACTGTTTTTTTCTATTCGATCGTATGACATAACAACATTTTATGAATAAGTTCTTTTATTTAGTGAAAAATATTCCTACTATGATGTGTAAATTAATCGTATTTTGTGTGGTTTAGTACATTTTATGATTAAGATACTTGTTTTGTAAAATGTTCTTTTGTAAGAGAATATAGACGGTTTTCGTTAACGATAATAGCGTAGAAAAATGAAATAAACATTTAGTAACAACATAACCAACATAAAAAGACTTATAAAAATTAAATCGTTGAGGATACCAAAATCTATGATTTTTTAAGGGACATAGCTGAAGATCCCTTTGCAACTTATGAATGATAAGACAGAATAGAAGACCTGAGGTCTTATAATGTATTGACGACTTTAATGCTAGGAATAAACACACTAGCTAAATTCAATAGAAAAAAGTAGCTCAAATACAAAAAGTTAAGTAGTTTCTTTAAAAGAGTGTATAGGACGGATAACATCAAACTGTTTTTTTCTCTTTGTTTGAAGTAGATTAACGTATGCTTGTTTTGTTAAATATGTCAAAATAACTGAACTTTCAACAAGTTCTATATACATTAGATAAAACATCTCATATTGATTGGTGATGCAAACCCTATTAACAAAAATTGACTTTGAACGAAGATGAAAACATCACATTTTCAGATCTTCGTAGTCTTACACTATTTCATTTCAACATTTTAATGAAACTGTTCTATAGTGTTTTGTCATATGTAATAATATTTTATGCAGAATGAATTCATTCTTACAACACGTTGAATAATAATGTGGGATGCTACAGTTAACTTATTACATAGCTAGTTGGAACTGAAATGATAGTACAAATCACGTCGATGATATGAAATTATTCTATAATTGATTGCATATGAAACCATTTTGTCTGTATCTAGATTGGAGATATTCTCATTATGATTGACTCAAGTTGTTGAAGGTACTCCCAATTGTTATTGTTTAATGAAAAATCATTTTACTCATATGTTCCCTTCTGTTGTCGACGATATAATTCTATCTTTCTGTTTATCTCTTGGAAAAATTTCTTGTTTGTTTATGACGTGTCATTACATCTTTTTCTTTTTTCAACATGACATTTAGATGAGAAAGGGGTAAGTGATAGTTATATTTTATTTTGTCTCTTATTTTCTTTTATTTTTAATTTTTTCGAGAAAATTTACAAGAAAAAGAAGCATTCTACACTGAATAGTTAAATTCATATATGTTGACAAAGAAAAACTTATGATTGAACATCTACGAAAGGAAAATTTTTGCTTGTTCTTACCTAACTTCGAAGTGTTGTAAAGATGATACTGATAATGACCGATAATCATCTAAATTGAAATACTCCATTTCATATGTATGCCATATTTAATCGATATTTTGTAACAGTTCAATAAAATGTTTTACTAGAATATCTCAGGTGATGAATCATTTCGTTTGAAATGAAAGCAAATTTTGAAAATCAGATTTGAGGTTTATATGCGTTACATTTTTATGAACTCAGGATGCTTTTCCCCAAGAAGAAGAGACGCTTCCATCAGGAAAAGGGGACAATTGATTCAAAGCATGACTCATGTATCGAGAAGACGACGAAAGAAGAGCAATTCTATGCCATACTATGGCATAGAATTTTTTGGATAATGGCTACTTGATGATGCGACTTATGTTTTGAAATTGACTATTGCCTACTTAATTTATTTTATTTGAGCAGTATGAATTTGATTGAAGATAGAAGAGAGTGTAGACTAATTGTGCATTTTACATGATAAAAGAATCAGATAATAACTGTGGACATGATTTTTGTGTGAAAAATTGCATAGATTTTCGTTGGTCAAACCATTCTTTTCGCATCTCAGTAAGGATTTGTCATTCATTGAAACAGTGACTGGCACGAAAATTATGCCCATAATTCGGCGAACTTCTCTAGCATTTGATATCGTTATTGATGATTTTGACCTAATTGAACGAACATAACTTCACCGATCATTTTCATGTTGTTGATGATTATTATGATTTAAACTTCAAACATTGCGCTTAACGACTTGAATATACGTCACATGCAACACATAGTACTCACTCTTCGCTGTAATACATAGTCGATATGACGTTGTTTATCACTGAGTTTTTCGGTACTGATGAGCAAACTAGTCAAAATAGACTTTGCAGAGATTTATTAAGAATAATTAATATTCGTGATTGATTCGTAGATGAATCTTCTGTATTTTACCAGCAGCTGATATTTTAAGTTTATTGATTGAATGAGAAATAACTTTTCATTCCTAGAATATTAATCTATTCCTATTTTGAACAACGAAAAATATAAATTATAGACCACTACATTAAGGGTGTGGGTGGGTAGGTGTGTGAATGTGGATGTGGGCTACAATAATATGCATTCACACCCACAGCCACACCCACCCACACAATCACACCCACATCCACACCCACACCCTCACACTCCACACCCACATCCTTTTTTTTCAGCTAAATACCGAGCTTCATTCAATATGAATTTTCAAGAACTAATTCATGTTTATCCTAGCGCACAGCATCCTATAGAGCACCGTTAAACTTGAACGAGGTACTTGGACCATTGTTCGAACATAGATTATATGAAGAAGCAATATATTTGAAATAGAGTCGAAAGTTTCAGTTACATTCATATTTATATATGTAGTTCGAGGGTAAAATAGTTAAAATGAAAGCTTTTGTTTTTCTATTGAGTTTTCATCAGTAACCGAAAACGTTTTCATTAGCATAAGCGATATACAAGAAACCATCGTCGTGCTTATGTTCTGCATAGATCTCACTCATGGTCGACGTTAGTTGTGGGATAGTCCATTGCTGCGTGGAACTAAACAAAAAGTTGAGCCCTCCAGGCTTATGGTTGTTGACAAAGATGAAAAGGGCGTCTGTGAGTTGCAGTTGAATACGCTTCCGAATGATCCACAAAAATTGTCCGAAATTAATGTCGTTTGGAACAAGAAATTTTTGGTTACCAATATCCCGTATTTGAGATTTTGGTTCTCGTTCAACAATCACCGGAATACGTTCTGGATATCGATTGTGAATCCTTTCGAAATCTTGCTTACGTTGTTCAAATGAATTTTCTTCTTTGAATTTGAACTTCATTGTATGGGCAAAGTATGAAATGTGAAGAAACAATGCAAGCTGTGTAATCGTACTTTGTTGTCTGTGCTGCTGTATAACAAATGATAATATATTAGGTAAATCGTCACAGGGTATTTTCACTTTCTATTAGGAGTATGTGTCATTCTCGCTGTTTGCTATTCATCGTGTCCTGTACTTTGCTTCTGTTTTCATTTTTTGATTGTGAAAAAATGACGACATATCTTCATACAATGCATATGACTAATCTTTTATGTTTTCGTAATAACGTTGGAGAAGTAATCAACAAGCAACATTGTAGTTGACTGTTTTCATTTACTTTCTCTTCGTATTCCCTAAAAGAGAACAGCATAAAATTAACACGTGATCATACGAATACAATTGTGTTTTCGTTGATATGGCGAGAGCAAACTTTTGAGACACTGCTGCGTAGACTACCAAGCCACAGTCTTGATA